CCACTCAGACAGCTTTTGTCCAAGAACTGTTACTTTGGGAAACAGACTCCCACGTTAGTGCTTCCCTGAACACGACAATCTTAACCTCTTCAAGTTAAGGGACAATTTTTATCTATCCTCCTTATCCTCATAATCTTCATTTCCTGACATATTTTCTTCTACTCATATATCACACTTCATTAACCATTAACATTTCAACTGTAACCCACTACCTTAAATGGTCCTTAAGCCTTGGCCTCGCTAAAATATTCAAACTTATCCAATTGCTTTAATTATTGGCAATTCTATTAATAGCATTATATGACATAAGCAAAGCTTCCAAGCTAAGATCTATATCTTTAACGTGTTGCATTTTTAGAGTCAGATCAAGTCAAAGATTGAGTATTGGTGTCATATCTGTGTTGGGGCAATATAACCTTCATTTTCCAATCTTGATAGATTTCAAAAATCCTTTACATCAACTTGTGGGGGGGGGATTCTGCGATCTCTTTCCCCACAGACAATATTGCTAGCCTGTCATAATCGTGTTATTTCCACAGCATATGTTTAGAAGAGCTCCATTCTTTTTACCCACCATAGAAAAACCTCCCTGCCTCTTATCAGCATGGTTGATGCTCAACTTCACATGAATGTCTCATTGTGCCTTCTTGGTCTCATGTTTTCCACTGACCTGGGGTGGAACAACTACATTGAATCAATAGCTGCATCTGACGCAAGGAGAGTTAGTTGTCCGTGTCGGGCCAGGAGGTTTTTCTAATCTGAGTCCATCCATCATATTTACAAATCTACTATTGTTCATGCGTTGAATACTGTTGCCATATATGGTCTGGCGCCCCCGTTGCTAATCTCGAGGTTCTCGACAAAATCCAAAGATGGATATGCAATGTGATTGGTCCTGACCTGACATCTCGACTCCAGTTACTTTCTCACAGACGTGATGTGGCTTCCCTCTGTTTTTTCTACAAATATTTTCATGCCAACTGCTCTGACAAGATATTTTCACTGGTGCCCCAACTGCATGAATTTAAACATGGTACTAGGTTGTCATTTCAGTCCCGCCCTTTTGCTGTCGAAAAAATTAAATGTAACCGCCTCTTCTACTCCAACAGCTTCTTCTCTCGCTCTTCCCGACAGTGACGCGCCTTTCTACTTACTTGCTTCCCTGATAACTATAATTTTCAAAGATTTAAATGTAATGTCAGGCAACATCTCCTGATGTTTTAATCATGATCCCCGTTCTGCTTTTTATCCTTTCCTCAATCCCTGCTCTTTTCTCTCTCTCTAATCCCTTGCGTACTAGTGGCACTATCGCCTTGCTTGGGGTGAAATGCTTAAAAAAACTCCACCAGTTAACATTACAACTAGGTCCTACCATGCTACTTCCACGGAGTTAAATCACCCATATTTCCCCCGTCTTCCAAACGTAATACAACTTTTTACCCTTTGTGGAACATACTTCTTGATAGGCACCGCCTTGACTACTACTTTTCAAGTTAAAGGTCAATATTTATCCTGTCACCTTATCTTGGATTACGGCCATATCACGTTGAAACATCAAATCACGTCCGATCGCAGAAGTAAAGCAATGTTGAAACTTGTTAGTCCCTAGATGTGTGACAGCTTGTGAATACAAGGTGCTTGGATCTCTTGGGGGAGGGGGATAATGGCTCGGAATTGTTAATCAGAGAGCCGAGTTCTAATTCCCGCTGTGTTCGTTATATTTATTCATTTACTCGCAAATACTATTTGAAAAGGTATGAATTCTCCTCATCTCCCCCAGCTATGGGTTAAGCAGTAAGACTTGTATCATTCAGACATTACTATCTCCAAATTAAATAAATAAAGAAAGAAAGAAAGAAAGAAAGAATGCGTAAAAAATATTTGCATTTCGGCATTTAATAAACTATAGCGGTGTTTGTATGCCGCTAAACAAAAACAACCAATCAAATATTTTTCTTCATAATCTTCAATTCCTACCACTTCATTCATATCACATATACTATTCATCATTAATATTTTAACAGTAATGCTTTATCTTGAGCGCCTCTTGAGCCTTATACTGGGCGAATTTTACCGTAAAATATATGATTTCGTTTATTTATAATATCTGCAATTTTTGATATTTTAAAACACAGTGTGTCTTCAGATGTTTAATTCATAAATAAAAATAAAACGTTCTTCAACGTAATACATTTTTGTTGTTTCATATTTTGTTCTATTCATATGTGGATATTGCAGAAGTATCATCAAAGACTAAAAAGTTCGTCAATTTGTTATTATAGTAATTGTGAGTTCAATCCCTGGGCCGGGTAGCAGAAACTTAAACTCAATGCAAAAAAAAATGGTTAACTAATAACTGAGTAATACTATTATAAGAAAAAAAAAAGACGAGTCATGTTCAACAGAAAGATAAAAATTTATCCCTGGACATTTCAGTTCGAAATTCTTTCACGACTAAACGGGTCGATAAACTCATCTAAAAAAGGTTGGCCGGCCCAGCGTTGTGATTATAACAACAAAAACGAGGATATTAGATATTTGATGTAAATAATACCTCGACCGTATACAGAAGAGCATGGCCCTTCTGCATGTTGTGCCAGTTTCAATAATTCGACCTGAGATGAGAACATTAATCCAGGGTTGAATAATGGTAACGCCTTCTCATTCCAGACAATCTAGGCAGAAACTGTAGAAATATATTTAGAAAACAGAGAAACAATGAGTTGGTGATTCCGTTGTTGTTTCTCTGTTTTAAGTAAATAGAATTTCAAAATGTTCCCAGATAAAGCAAAAATTAATTTTCAGAAAATTCATTCTTAAGGTTTGTTTTTTTTTCTTGCACTGAAATAAATAAAAAAATATCATATTCAATTTAGTGTCTGATATCCCATCCGTTCCAGCATTCTCTAAACGGGGTGGTAGCACCTGTTAGGGTCGCAGCTATAGGCAAATAGTGAACTCACAAAGAAAAAGAAAATACAAAATGTATAAAAATACATTTTATATTAAAAATACTAGCAACACATTTTTATATAAAAAAATTGCCAACAATACGTATTTAGAGTTAAATTACCAACAATACTTATTTAAAAACAATTACCAGCAATACATATTTATAATAAAAATATCAACAATACTTTAAAAAAGATATCTATTTATGGTAAAATTACCGCCCTTGCATGGAATACTACTGCCATATATGGTCTGGAGCCCCCGCCATTTGTCTCAAGGTCCTCGACAAAATCCAGAGGCTGATATCCAATGTTGTTGATCCTGGTTTGATATCTCGTCTACAGTAACTTTCTAACATACATACCGTCGCTTGCCTCTGTCTTTTCTACAAGTACTTTCACGGTAAGTGCTCCGACGAGCTATTTTCGCTGGTTCCCAAACTGCATGAATTTAAGCGTGTTACTAGGTTGGCATCTCAATCCCACTCTTTCACTGTCGAAACGGTTGTAGTCGCCTCTTCTACCCCCAAAATCTTCATGTCTCGCACTTCCCGTCTGTGGAATTCCCTTTCTCTTACTCGCTTCCCTGACAGTTATACTCTTCAAATATTCAAATGTATTGCCAATCGACATCTTGTGACGCCTTGATTTAATTCCCCGTTCTACTCTTCATCCTTTCCTCTATCATGCCCTTTTACTCTTGCTCCCAATCTCTGTAACCCCTTGCGTTCTAGTAGTACTCTCACCATACTTGGGGTGAAATGCTTAAAAAATTACCAACAATAGCTATTTATAGTAAAATTATCAACAATAACTATTTATAGCAGAATTACGAACCATATATATTTATAATAAAATTACCAACTATACGTTTTATCACAGAATTACCAACAATACAGTTTATAGCAAAATGACCAATAATACATTTTATCTGTAGTTGAAGTCATGATTGCGTTCAAATTAATGACATTTCGGCATTAAATAATCCATGCAGGTTGATATGTCACTAAACAAAATCAACCAACCAACCTTTTCTAAACTGTTTCTGAATTGCATGGGACGGAAATATATGTGAGGAGGATTCAAAAAGTTTGCAGAAAACATTTTATAGAAAAAAAAATCTATGCCTCAAAGTTAACTTTAACGTGTATGTTATAACCTGTGTGGTTAGACCAACAGGAGTTCTCTCTCCTGTTGACAATTACCTCTCTTGAAAGTAGAACTCGTCCTCTCGTAGATACTATTAAAAAAATGGTCTAGCCGTGTCTCTCCATTCAAACTCAATAAAGATTTCTTAAGTCTTATCACGCTTCTGTGTCATCATTACAACATGTATGAAGCGGAAGTATTTCGAGAAATCGATTGAAGTTCATGCCAGTTTAAAAAACAACACCGTATAGATCAGCTTGAAAACTGTCAAAATGGAAGCAGGAACTAACATCAAATTTAAGGCAAATTTTTATTGAGAAGCCTGGGGACATTATTGGCGATTTGTGAACAGTTTATGGAGAGATTCTCCGGAAAAAGATCAGTCATTTCTAAATAGCTAAATCGTTTTAAAGAACGAAATGGAGTTGAAAACAGAAAATGGATCGGCAGACACTTCAAATCATTTTGTGAGAGAATAGTCAATTCGGTTTGAGATTTAACGAAAAGGTGACTGATGATTAACAAATATATACTATTAGCTAACACACTAGACGTCACACAATTTTATCTGGAAGAATTAATGATGAGTAACATTTCTGCTCGTTGGGTACCACAACTGCTTCACCTAGTTCAACAACAGAAAAGATTTGATTGACTGATTTGTGTTTTACGGCTTATCAACCCTCTACAGGTTATGTAGAGACGGAAAATATTTTTGCAAACTAATTATTTACTTATACAATTTTACTAATTAACCCATATCTGGGAAAGAAGAGGTTGGTTCATAAATTTCCCCAGAGTAATTGCGCGTAAATGAATATAACTAACCTGGCTAGAATTCGAACTCGGCTCTTTGATATTCAATTCCCGGCTACCGACTTCACCAACTACACATCCAAGCTTACAGCGCCTGATATTACCTAGCGGCCATCCATTTTGGTACTGACCAAGCTCGACGTTGCTTAACTTCGGTAATCGTACGAGAACCGGTGTTTTAACGTGATGTGGCCGTAAACCCAACATACATGAGCAGAGTTTTTCATGGAAATGTTATTCATATGGGATCAAAATCCTGAATTCTATCTCAGAGAAATTGTAAGTTGACTTGAAACTTGATTTTACAAGTATGATATTGAAGAAATCGATCATTTAAAGACCATAATTGGAAAGGATTCAGTCAAAGTAAATCCAAGACAGTCACGAGGAATGGTTTGTTTCTTTTGTTGTACAACATATCAACCACAATGGGTTATTTAATGCCGACAATTTTTATTGCTGGTAATATTTTCATTCAAAAATGTATCGCTGGTAATATTTTTTCAAAAAATATATTGCTTGGTAACAATTTCTTACAAAGTATTTCTGATATAAAAACCTATTTTTACACTTTCATAGTGTTTGGACCCCAGTTTGGGGGTTAACTATTTACTCATAGTTAGGACCCTAACAGGTGCTACTACCTCGAGTTAGGGTGGACCTGGGAACACCAGCAATTAAGAGGTGATTAGACGCTCAACAAAACCTCCTGATTAGAGGCCTGGCTGTTGGACGTAGTTTATCGTCTTACCCAGGACTCGGATGTAGTTTATCGTCATACCCAGGACGGCACCAGGAATGGGTTATAACGATAGTTTTTGGGATACTTTGCTACTTAACTTAGAGGGGCGGTAACACAGCAACGGCTTCTTCAAATAATCTGGTCAGAGAATCATTTTCTACCACCGCAATTTTCCTGTAAATTCGTTCCATTGAACAAGAGGAACATTGCAAGAACTCTGACGAGAAATCATTAAACACCAACCTTACAGTCTTGGCTTGGCATCTGAATTTTTCTTATTTCCTAACCTTAAAAAAATATTTGGTATCCTTTTTTGATAGCATTATTGACATAAGAAAAGATTGCTTTGACACGATTCAAAATCCCCAGTTCTCTCAGGATTGTAGATCTGTCCTCACATAACAGAATTATAATAATACCAATGAAAACAGAGATGGCCCTAGGAATTAAAAAAAATAATATAATACAACGGAACTTCGAGATGTAGACCAACCACTCCAGCCAACGAAGACAAATAACAGCTCAAAATTTATCCTCGACCCAAATTATATGGATTTACTGCAAGAACAACTTTAAGTAGAAGCTTACGGAACTTTATTTGTTGGAAAATCTGACTTGCAGTTGCGTAAAAATCACAAAAAAAAAAAAACAAAAAAAAAAAAAAAAACAATACTCTTTCCGGTGACAAAAGCTGTTGGTGGCGCCAGGGGTGGCAGTACCGCATAAGCTACTAAAACTGTGTTACCTCCCCTGGTTGTCGGCGGATGAGGTCAGGATATCGCACGTGCTCTCACACGTTGTGTGTAAAAAACTGAAAAAAAAAAAAAGAACATTGACCAATTCAGCTTTAGCGCTGAAAAATGGAAAATATGCAGCACCTAATGAAGTTCCAACTCATTACTCAGTCGTGACTTACCTGGCGAGAAAAACCATTCTAACGATTACTCCACGTCGATGTGCTCCTTCAACTCAGATTATATCCGACTAGACTGTTTTATACCCCTTGTATATGTTAGGCTTGGTCAGTTCATACGCCCGGTATTAATGGGAAGGTATGATATAAGCTAACCACAATCGTACCTGGGGATTATTCTGGACGACGCTATATTCTGATGTTCTTGGGAATCCGTACAGCTACCCCAGATCAGACAGACGTCAAGAAGAAGAGGGGGTATCAGATCGTGACAATAGCTGTGCCTGCAATGAGGACATATGAGGACAAATAATAAAACAAAAATTGGGAAAACCCCAGCCCGGAAGCTGAAAAAAAAACCTATAAAACATGGATTGATTTTCGTTTTTTTTTTTTTTTGATTGATTTGTTTCACGGCATATCAACATCCTTATGGGTCATTTAATGCCGAAATTTAATTTTCTTGTTAGCTTTGAAATAATAAAAATATGATATATGTTATTCTGCTTTGACAGTTGAATACATGGTAGATGATACTCAGCTTTTGTGCATATACGTGCTTCTGTAGACATAATTACTAGAGGAGGTGATATGTCGTTTTTATATCGTAGTTTATTATTCTGCTTTCACAGTTGAATACATGGTAGATGATACTCAGCTTTTGGGCATACATATTTCTGTAGACATAATTACTAGAGGAGGTGATATGTGTTTTTTATATCATAGTTTATTATTTTGCTTTCACAATTGAATACATGGTAGATGATACTCAGCTTTTGGGCACACATGTTTCTGTAGACATAACTGCTACAGAAGATGATCTGTGGTTTTTATGTTGTAGTTTTGTTGAAGTTATATTTTAGAATACAATTTTATTTCTTTAAGAAATTACAGGTTATTATACGGATTAATGTCATGTAAGATTTCTTTCATGTTGGCTGTTTGGTTGAATTTGTTTAGCTGCATATCAACCTCTATGGGTCATTTAATACCGAAAGCTAAATATTTTGAACGCAAGTGTATGCCTTCAACTAAAGATAAAATGTATTGTTAGTTACTTTACTACAAATATGTTTTGTCAGCCATTTTTTAATATTATGTATTGATGGTATTTTTACTATAAAAATGCGTTTTTATACTTTCATAGTGTTTTGTTTTTGTTTGGTAGTTCACTATTTGCCCATAGCTAGAGCCCTAACAGGTGTTACCACCGCGGGTCAGGGTGAACCGGGTACTAACAGCAATTAAGAGGTTCTTCCAGCCACCTGAAAACCTTCAATCTCCCGATTAGAAGCCTTGCTGCCGAATGAAGTTTATCGTCATGTCCAGGACTGTCATATAATAAAGGAGAGGATATGAATGGATTAATGTAAAGAAATAGTTCTTTTATGTTAGCTGTTTGTTTTTGTTTAGCGGCATATCAATATCAATGGGTTATTTAATACCGAAATCAAAAGAAATGAACGCAATCGTCTGCTTTCAGCTACAGATAAAATGTATTGCTGGTCATTTTACTATAAATATGTATTGTTAGTCTTATTTTATAGAAAAATGTATTTCTAGTATTTTTACTATAAAAATGTATTTTTATACTTTCATATTGTTTTGTTTTGTATAGGGGGTTCATAATTTGCCCATAGCCGAGACCCTAACAGGTGTTGCCACTCCAGGTCAGGGTGGACTTTGAAGCAACAGCAATTAAAAGGAGGTTCCACGCTCCTCAAAACCTCCTCTCGATCACAGGCCTTGCTGCTGGTTGTAGTTTATCGTAATGCCCATACAGGTGAGGATTCTTGCATATAATAATTAAAATACTGAGAACAGTGTCAAAAACATTTAGAGTCGATATAAAATGCATTAGAAACCTGGGAAAGGACTAAGTTTGTCCAGATCTTAGCAATTCTTGAGTCGGCGATAATACTGAGGAAGGTGCTGGTGATTTGAAATAATTTAGGGTTACTTAATCCTAGTATGTATATTCATGAAATTTTATAGTAAGTATTTTTATGAATTTCAAAGTTGTAATACTTTGAAAGTTTCCCAAAAATCATCTTATATTAATTAAATAATATCTAAAATTATTTCGCCGAAAAAAATGTTTGTGGTATTTTCACATCCCACGCAGAGAGGAAACCCGAGAAAGAGATTTTTTTTTCTTCTTTCATTTTCGTCATCCACGTCAGAAAAGGACTAATTTTTAAATTCTTCGTCTTAAATTACCGCGATGTCATAAAAATAAATAAATATTACTTACCCTTTTTAGACGATTTGCGGTTTATGAGGTATTTTATTGTAAGTGGATTTATTTTGATGTGAGCATGGTTATTAGGTTTTGCCCGGCTGTCAAATTTTGAAAAAAAATATTTTTTAAAATAATCATCTTGCGATATTCGCCCCTTGGGTCAGTCATTCTTTCAAAAATATCTCTGAGATTCTCAGCCGAATTTTTTTAAATCCGAAAGTTAAAAAAAAAAAAAAGGAAAATTCAAGATTATTTCTCTATTGAAAAATTAGTTTCGTCTTCGTTAAAAATAATTTAAGATCTGTTAATTACAGTAAAATAAACGTAAATTTATTTACATTTAATGATATTCTGACACTGTATTCCGAATACAAAATGACAAAAGCTAAGTGGTGTACTAAGAAATAGAAAATCTTTGCTAGAAACAAGTGTATGGTACTAAACTGTTACGTTATACATGTCTTCCTGTATGGCAGTAAATGCTGGACAATCTCCTCAAAGATGAAGAAGAGACTTGAAGCAACAGAAATGGGTTTCTACAGAAGAATGCTGAGAATAGCATGAACTGAACACGTCGAAGTTTTAGAGACATTTGAACAAAACAAAAAAATGTAACTTACACTTTTATACTTTAGAGACAGTTAAGGTTTCTGGGAGTCATAATGAGGAAGAAGAGCATAGAAAAACTGATACTCACAAGACAGATTGAAGGCAAGAGAGACAAATGAAAACAACGCATGACATAGTGAGCTTGAGTAAATGGATGGCGGAACAGGGCTTAGGAGAAATAACAAGACAAAGTTTATTAGGAATTACAAAGACAGGAAGTTGTGGAGAGCCATGATCACCTACGTCCTGAGGGGACACGGCACATAAAGAAGAACGAGCTTGGATCAAACATTGCTACCATATCTGTCCCGCCGAATACGCTTTTTTTCCCAGCTTTTTACGTGGCCTTATTTTCCACCCAACAACGCCTCTTCTCTCACTCCGTTCTATGGCTATTTCCCTGAAAAATGTTCTGAAGCATTACATTGACTAGTTTCAGACTTTTAGAGCTGAAGCCCGCCATGCCATAAACGCAACGTTTTAATTTCTTTCATATTCCATTAGTGAAGAAGTTCCTTTCGGGACATTTCCTTCCAAGAGCAGCTACTTTAGGAACAGACTCATGAGATGACGCTACCTCTGAACACTACAATGTTAACATCAAGTCTAGGGACAACCGTTACCTATCTCACATATCCTCATAATCTTCACATCTTCACTTACTTCCCCTTGCTAGGTCTAAGCAAAAACCA